AATGCTGCTGTTACCCCATAAATACCCATGCTTCCCAAGCAGAAGGTAGATTTCTTGAATGTCATCCAAATTATATTTTCTCAAATACAGCCGAAGTTCAAGCAGGGCTCTGAAATCAGCTGGAAGGTTGTTTTTTTGTTTTTGTTTTTTTTTTAATTTTTAATGTTTTTATTTATTTCTGAGATAGAGAGACAGCGTGAGCAGGGGCGGGTCAGAGAGAGAGGGAGACGCAGAATCTGAAACAGGCTCCAGGCTCTGAGCTGTCAGCACAGAGCCCGATGCGGGGCTCGAACCCACGAACCGTGAGATCATGACCTAAGCCGAAGTCGGACGCTTACCCGACTGAGCCACCCAGGTGCCCTGAAATCAGCTGGAAGTTTTGACTCGGGGAACACAGAAAGTGGTTCGGGAAATGACAGAAGTCGGGTTCGCTGGAGAAAGGTTCTAAGCAAAGTAAGTTTTAGTCCTGGTCTTGCTATTATCAATTTATGACATAATTTGAAAATGAGTTTGTCCTATATAAGATCAATACATTAATATTGAAGATAGTTTCATGCTAATACTTTCATATTCTTGATGTTTTTATGCACTTTATAAAGCCACCAAATATTTATTGCTTTTGTCTCTCTGTAGAATATTTATTCAGCCATTACTATCTATGTTAAAGATTTTATGTTTAGAAATGTTGAGAAACTCAACCAAGTTCATAGATCTAGGACTCCTTGAATTCAAATCCATAGTCTGCATTTTACGCCCCTTTTACCTTCCAGAAAGGATTCTTCTAGGGAATTGAGGGGTTGCTCCTTGTAATATAAAGGCTGCTTGTGAATTGCTTCCCTGGTCATGGAAATTTATAACTCCTTGATTCACTAACTTGACCATAAGTACCTCAAGTTACTTACTTGCTTATATTTTCCATGGAAATACTGAGTTTGATTTTCAAACACTAAATACCAAAACTAAAACAAAACTAAAAAAAATTAAAAATTAATTAAAAAAAAAAAGTAAAGAAAGAGGCAAGTAATATCTCCCAAACAGAGTAGATTAAAAAAAAATAAAGCCGGGTTTTTCTTCTAGTATTGGGACAGATCACGACTTCCCTGGTAGAATACCAAATGAACAGCCAGCTTGTACTCAGCAGTCAGGGTGTATGAAAGATATGAATGTTGAAACAGCAGAATCACACTAAATACAGAGATATGATCACACTGAAAAAGGCACCGGAGAACTGAGACCTGCAGAGAGAAAAGCGGGTCTATCCATCTATCTATGTATGAAGACTGGCTATGTATGCAGGACACATGGTTTATTCAGTCTGTCCATGATGCGTGGTGCACACATTTATTTGCAGAACTCTTGTAGTATATCAGCAGCAGCCCACAGACCAGAAATCAAGGGATTAGACTGGTTTTTAATGTATGAACTCAGACTTAATTTTTATTATTTTCTTGTCTTTACCCTATTCCCCCCAACACTTGGCTGTTTCTCTGAGTCACTGCCAGGCTCCCTCCCTGCAGCCCTGGAGCTCTTCAGGCTGATGGAAATTTAAGTCTTCTGACAGACAATGCTATGATCAGAGGCTGGAAATCTTAAGAGTTTGGGCCCCATTTGCCCAGTGAAATGAATGGCCCCATTAGATTACCTTAACTAAGGTGCAATGGAGGCAAGCATGTGTTGCGTGCCAAAGTCAACACCAGATCTAATTTTATGACCATCAGGTGGGTGCACAAAGTCTCCAATAACATGATTTTAGACTAGGCTAGTCCTTCTTGTGATAAAAGGCTGATTAGCAAGATGTGGCTGACCATGTGATCAAGTTAATCTCAGGCAAGATTCCAAAGCAATCCACAACCAATGAAAAATGAGAGGCATGCAAGTTGGACCAAATTTTTAAAAAATGCTGCAAGTTCTTATCTGTATGATCAAAAATCTATTGGAATCAGAGAATTAGTTAGCTGACAGGCATTCCAAAGCAGATTTTGAAGTCATAGTAAGAGTTTAATTTATAAGAGCATGATGTTTAAAGTTTCTGGCAAATAATACTAACAAGCAATAGAGTTATTCAGGCTGAAATCTGTTCTAACTTTAAATTAATCAGAACCACAATAAACATCAATGGCTACTGCTGGGAGTGTGGAGGATGTAAACTAAGTTCTCTTGTCCAGGATCAAAGCTTAATTAAAAAAAAATTTTTTTTAATGTTTAATTTATTTCTGAGAGAGAGACAGACAGACAGACAGACAATGTGAGCAGGGGAGGGCCAGAGAGAGAGGGAGACACAGAATCTGAAACAAGCTCCAGGCTCTGAGCTAGCTGTCAGCAGAGCCCGACACGGGGCTCGAACCCACAAACTGCGAGATCATGACCTGAGCCAAAGTCCGACGCCCACCCGACTGAGCCACCCAGGTGCCCCTCAAAGCTCAATTCTTAAGCATGAAGACAGGTCCTATAAATGCCACTTGGTAATACAACAAACAATATCTCCATATTGCCACTGAATGTTTTACTATTATGCAAGTTACCTTGAAATTGGAACTTATAAATATCCTATTGCAAGGACAACTTTTAGGCTGATTAGCAATAGTGTGACAATAATATTTAGCAAAGAAGAGAATGAGAAAGAACAAGCCTAGACTTTCATCTTTAAATTTAATTAACATGTCCTTCCTTATTCTTTTGAGAGGAAAAATCCAGAAAAATTTTTTGAGATCCATTTTAAAAATAACTTACAATATTATGTTTTTAATTACAATTAAATAAACTTCCTATGAATATTAAATTTTTAAAAGCCTAACTAGCAATTGTACATTATTAAAAGCTGCATCACTCGTGTCAATACTACTTGATTTTTAGAGGTTTATCATCAAGTTCTTAAATGATCAGTATCCTGAAACTTAAATTCAAATAATGTTAATACTTAGTTACCCAAAGCAGACGAATAATGTTCATTAACTGCAACGAAGTTCGACGACCTCCAGAGCGTGGAAACGCTTAGATAAAATCAGTATTTTTATTTATCTGTAAAATTAAAAAAAAAAAAAAAGCTTCCGGAAAAAATGTATTACTTTGCCAAAACCAACTGCTCCTCACATCTCCCTCCATTCCACAAATGCTTGTGACCCAAACTTGTAAAGTCTCTCACTTTTTGTGTCCCACTCCAAGTTCATGCCTTAAAGAGAGGAAGCAAAACTCCTTTACTTGGTGCGAACTCTGCAATGTCATTTTATCTTTTAGATAATCCTATCTTCACAGCAAGTTCTGGCTTTTAGGTTGTTTACCCCTTTCTTTCCCTTCTGGTTTTCTTTGTTGATGATGCTGGAGCTGGTGTAGGAAGGAAGTCAAAGTCCCTCAAACTGTTTGCTAAAAATTGTGAACAGTACCACTAAGTAGAAATATAAAACGGGAGATTTCAAATAAAATAACGCGCACTCTCGAATTCCCAGAGGGAACAAAAGGAAACGAAACGACGCACAAACTTGGGGGTGTTCCAGCACATCTGCAAAGGTGGGGGAAGTAGCGCCCAAGAGAGAAGGCGGCCTCCGCCCTCCCCTGCCCGCAGGTGGCTCAGGCAAGCACCTCAGACAACAATGGCCAGGGTGGGCTCCGCCTGCGTCGCTAGTTTTCAGTGTCTGTCCCTACCCAGAAAAATCCTCTCTCTCGAAAGAATGACAAAACAGAAAAAGAAGCGTGCGTTCGGCTACCTAGAAGGCATCCCCCCCCCCCCCCCCGCTTTCCAAATGTCTAATTCCCCATCGCGGTACAACGATGAACCTGCCAACCATCAAGTTCCTGTGCAAGTTATTTTATTTCCCGCAGCCCCTCCACCTGCCGGGGCGGCGCTCCGAGCACCCCAGACTTCTCTCCGGCGGCCCCCCGCGGGCTGCAGCAAAAACGGGGTGCTTCGGCTGGGCGGGGGCGGACGGCTGCCGCGGATCTGGCCGGCTACAGCCGCAGCTCGGTGGCCTCCGATTGGCCACGACGCGGGCGGGGAAGCTCGGCGGAGGAGGGAGGCGGGGGCGAGGGCGGCGGCGGCGGCGGCGGCGGGCGGGGAGAGGAGAGGCGAGGAGAGAGGCCCGCGCAGCCTGGCAGCGCGTGCGGCGAGCGCGGGGAGAGCGGCGGCGGCGGCGGCGGCTCGCGTTGGTCGCGCTCGCGGAGGCCGAGCCGGGTGCGCGGGCGGCGGCGGCGGCGGGGGGTGGGGCGGCGCGCGCGAGTGAGCGGCGCCGGGCAAGGACCGGCGGAGGGTGCCGGCGCGCAGGCACCAGGGGCGGCCGCGGCGGCAGCTGCGCCGGACACAGCCGGGGCGGGAGGGGCCGCGCCGGCCCCCGGCCTCACCCCCGCGCGGCCAAGGCCCGAGAAGAGTCTCCAACTCTCCGGGGGGCGGGGGGCCGAGAAGCCGCCCTCGGCTCCCACGCAGAAGAGGCGCCGGGCGGCGGGACCGCTGCCCTTTGTGGGCGCAGCGCGCACGGCCCGGAGCGCCCTCCCCACGGCGCTCTCCTCGGCGTCTTCGTCTTGCGGAGCGGCCGTGGAGAGGGGACCCGGAGGAAGCAAAGCCACGAGCTGGAAACCTCGCGCGGCGGAGCTCCGGGCGAGCGCCAGCCGCTCCGCTGCCACCTCCGCATCCTACCCCGGCCAAGGTCCCCGCCGCCTGCATCCCTCCGGCTTCCGCTGCGCTCAGGGCCGGAGCCTAGCCGCCTGCGCTGCCGCCGCGGCCGCCTACACACACACGCACACACTCTTTCTGTCTCTTTCTCCCTCTCTCACACCCTCACCCGCACGCCCGCCTTCTCCCCCGCCCCCTCCCCAGCTTCTTGATCTCTCGGTCTGTTTTATTACTCCTGGTGCGAGTCCCGCGGACTCCGCGGCCCGCTATTTGTCATCAGCTCGCTCTCCATTGGCGGGGAGAGGAGAGCAGCGGTGAAGGGGGTGGGGTGGGGAGGGGAAGGGAAGGGGGTGGAAACTGCCTGGAGCCGTCTCTCCGCGCCGCTGTTGGTGCTGCCGCTGCCGCCGCCGCCGCCTCCGGCTCCTCGCTCGGCCCCTCTCCGCCTCCATGTGCCGGATAGTGGGAGCGCCGCGGACCCTGCTGCCGCTGCTGGCGGCCCTGCTCCAGGTACGCGGCGGTCTCCGCGGGCCGGGCCGCGGGTGGGGTGGGGCGGGCGGCGCCGGGTCCCTTTGTTCCCCGCGCCGCTGCGGGGCCAGGCTGCGCACCCGGGAAGGGAGGTGCCGCACCGCGCGGTCGGGAGCTGCGCGGGCACGCGGCTCGGGCCGGGCTCAGGGGCAGGGCTGGCCGGGCTCCCGCGCCGTGCCCGGCGGGTCCCGAAGGGGCAGATCGCGGGCCCCCTGTGCTCTTCCTTCCGGGCCGGGAGAGCTTGCAGGGGATGTCTCCAGGCAGCAGAAGGGTGAGGCAGGAGAGCTCCCAGCTTTCGCAGTTTTCTACGCTTCTCTCCCCTCGCTTTGCACTTTGCTCCAATTTTTTGTTTATTTTTGCAGGGATGGGTCGCGAGTTTGCAGGAGGAATTCTCACTCTGGTGTCTTAGTTACGGGACGTGCCTCCACCCCACCCCACCCTGGCACCCGCGCGCCTCCCGGTGCCCGAGGGCTCCACTGTCCTATTGTCTTTACCCCAGCCCAGAGTTGCCTTCTGTTCTTGTTGTCTTGCCCTCACTGGGTTCTCTGTCGGTCCCACCTGGAAAGAAAGCCTCGCTGCGTTGCCCGGAAGAGTCTGTATGGGCCGGGGCCTCCGCACCCAGCCCCTGGCCCCGCACGCCCCTTACCCCGGCGGGCGGGGAGAAGTTCCGTTACTCGGCTGCTATTCCTCTTCCTCTGTCCGCTCTCTCTGCCCTGCGTGCGCCCACGGGGACGCCTTAGCGAGGAGCCTCCGCACTTTCCACGCTTTCGGGAGAGCGCCAGACAGCCTCGTCCTGAAATCAGTCCTAGGAGGCTCCTCCGCGGCGGAAAGCACCTGCTTCAGGCGGGTCGCAGGCTCCCTGCCACTCCGCGCCCCCGGTCTCCAGCCCGGCCGACCGCCCAACTTTCCCGCGGCGTCCGGCCGGGGTGTACCCCGAGGCCCCTCCCGTCCGCCGACTGGGTCCCGGGAAGCTACGCCGCACGTCTCAGCTGCGACCCCCGCCGGGGGCGCGGGTACCGAACCTGCCCCCCGCACGCGATGGGGTTCCAAAGCTGCTGCAGGAGAGGGGCGTGTCCACATTGAACGCAGGTCGGGGTCCCCCGGGAAATACACCCGAGGGGCCCCCTGCGCACCCTTGTGGCTGGGGGTGGCCAGCGGGTGGCAGCTCTGGAAAGTGCGGGCGCGGCTCGGAAGTGCCGTTGAGCCGGGGGCGACCCGGGCAGGGACTGATGGTGCCGATCGCCCCCCCCCCCCCCCCCCGCCCTCCGTGGTCTTCACGGGTCAGAGGCTGGCTCGCTCCGACCGCGGTGGGGACTGCGGGCGCCAGGGGCGGGACGGGGTCGGCGCCCGCGGTCTCTTGCGCTTTCTCCCGCCGCCCCCTAGAGGGGTGTGGGCAGAGGACGCCGGAGCCCTGTCCATGGTGCGCCGTGGAGCGGCGCGCCCTGCCTGGCTCTGCGCTTCCTCCCCCAGGTTGTGCTCTCCAGCCTTCTGGCTCGCTCCCTTTCTCTGGCTTCTTGGCCGCCTGGGTCCCGTCTTTCCTTTCTCCTTTCTTGGGTTTCTCCTTTTGTTCTTTCGTCTCCTGCTGGCTTCTCTCCCCTCCCCCCACTCGCCAGTCAGCCCTCCTCGGCTCTTTCCCGACTCTGGGGTTTCAGAACTATTAGACTAGTTGTTTTTGGCCTCTGCAGTTTTGGAAGTGGATGGAATTTCTTCTTACTGGGGGAGGAGACCCGTCAGTCACTTGCTGACAAAAGTATCTCCTGTTATAAAACCGGCCTTTATTCTTGGAGTGCACACTCCTCATTCTTGAACCTCTCGTCGCTTCATTTATTGTTTCTTCTTTTCAAATGGGGTTTGCAGAGGAGGTTAGGCTGAAGGGGAAGAAGGGAAAAAAGTGCCACTTCAGTTGTTTGAAGTCTGGGAGAAGCCAAGATAAACTTAGGAATCCTACGGACAAAAGGCATTTTCCTTGTATTTATTTATATTTTTTGAACAGGAAATGTAGATCAAAAAACTCTTCTTTTTAAAAGTATTAATTTTGAACATCATTGAGTGGTCTTACAAATTTACAAGGAACTTTCAATAAATTTTCAGAGTGTGAGTCCATCAGTAGATGGCATGTTCACTAACTTTTTGATCTGAAAGTAAGTTTTAATTGAATACCGTGCGAGCAAGTTGTTGGTCATTAATACCATGGGACTAAGTGTGGTACCGCGGGAGCAATCCCATTTCCTCTTAGTCATCCGCCTTGAAGTCAGGTGTGAATTTTGGAAGGCGTTTTCTTTTTTGAGCGTTTAAAAACATAGCATTTATAAACGGCAAATAATGTGTTCATCTTTGCATTGTATTTCCTTTCTCAGTTTCTTCTAGGATGTTACCTTGACTTTTGTAAACCCTCAGTAAAGGGGAAATTATAACTCTGTCATCAAGTTTTTTGGCAATCTTCTGATTCATAGGTGCAAGTCAAACAATAACATTGAATGATTTGCAAGGTCATTAGGAGTGGAAGCAGAGCAGTTTATGCAACATGAGTTTTAGGGTTAAGTGCACCATGTGGACTCTACGACTGAGATTAGAAATGACTTTTTGCTAATGGCCTGCTTTCCACACCAGAATAACAAAGATCTATCTGCAAGGTGAAAATGGCCCCTCTGCAGTCATCTGCTATTAAAAGTCTAGTTTTTGTTTTGTTTTGTTTTTTTCCTTTGTTTTTTGGTTTTTGTTTTTTAAGGTCAGATTAAGAAGACAAGAGTTTTAGGAAGGAGAATGAGTAGGTTACTAGTGTAGATACAGAGCAATCTTATTTTTTTTTTCAGACCAGTCAAAAAAGAATGACTAAATAATCAAAAGGACTTCATACCTTTGTGTTTAAACTGAAGTGTTTCCTGTTTTACTTTGAACATTTTTTACTTTGAGAGATTCTTTATTAGTTTAGTTATTCTATTAGATTTACATGATTCTAGGCAATTTTGCACATTGTGTTATTCAGCCTTAAGATTTTTCTCTGTTCTTCATTTTAATTTTACAGCATTAGCATTGTCCTTTACACTAAAAATGGAAAAGCAGAATTTGAGCATTAAATTTCACCGATGAAGGGATATCACAGAGTTATGACAAGCTTTCCTTTTGAGGTATACAAGTGACTTTCAAGTCCTTAAATAAATTTATCATCAGACCAAAAAAAAAAAAAAAATCAATTTTACTTTTACTACCTACCCAGTAATTACTAGGTAAGAAACCTGTTTTGTTTTTCTAGTTCACATTGTTCTAATTTAAATTACACATGTATGGGTTATGAAGTATCAAGGACATCACCTTAATGTTTATAGATCTTCTGGATTCTTGGTTTTATTACATAGGTCCTGCTTTCAATCCTGGGTGAGGGTATATGAAAAAAAGATGCATAAACCACATGTGATTTTTACCTGTTAGGTGTATAGACTTTGAAGAGATTAATATTCAACACATGAAACATATAAAAAGAAGCTTTATTTTAGGATGTAGAAAATCAAGGATGCAGTAATCATTTTAAGTACAAAACAGATTTATTCTCAGTGTTTATTTGATTTTCATGTGCCTTTTTAACAGCTTCTTGCAAAAGAAAGTAAGGAGAATTAACATAGTTGGTGTTCACAGTTTATTCTACTTAGCGGCCACAGTTATGGATATCTCTGCCCTTTTCTTATCTTGTAGCATGTGGTCATAACTCATAGATGGCACATTGCAAACATACTAGGTATGACCTGAAAAATAATAATTTGTGTCCTATGATATTTTATCTTAAAATATTTTATGGATATATTTTAAAAGTATTCTATATATGTAATTTTTTAGGCCCCAGTTGCAAGTTCAGAATTTACGTACAAATGGTACTTTTTGACTTTCATACCTTCATGGAGTCTGGTCTGACCTTCATTAAAAGTTGGGACAGATTTTAAGAGGAAGTTCTTTTTATATTGTATTTTTTACATATAGAGACGAAAGTCTTCTTGGAACAGATTATTTGGGTGACAGTGTTTTGCACCAAATGGTCCTTAATTTCCTTTTTCATTAAAAATTTTCAATTCTTAAATCTGTTATGCCTCATTAAGCTTTAGGGTTATTAATCAGGAAATGTCAAGACTTAAAGCAACAGTAAATCTTGCTTTAAAATGCCTTAAAAAAATCCTGAGTTCACTCAAATCCCCATCCTGTTTTCAAAGGGATATTCTTAAGTTAGAAGAGTGATTTTTAAAGAAAAATCCTAGCTGTTATTTAAGAAATGTAATGTTTGTGTATATACACTACCGTTTTGCCCAAGTTAACATTATTCAAATTTGTTCTTTTGGCCCAAATACAAAAAGTAATCAAGTTTAAGCACTGCACAGACTTGTGGTGAATTTTGTCAACCATTTAAAAATTACATAGAATTGGAATTTGGATTTTGTCATTTGAGTATTTCCTATCTGCCATTAGTATACCTTCTAGAAACCTAAGTAAGCATTTTCAAGTTGGGTTGAGAACTATAAGTTGAAATGTAGTTTGTATCAGCATATCATTATGCCTCACATTTCTGACTTTTTTTTACCAAAAACTTATTTTTGTTTCAATTTTTTAGCAAATTAGATCAGTTAATTTGAGCAGATGCTAGTCTTCCTGTATTTAACTAAATGTAGATAAGTTTTAATTAAACAACCCTATTCATGCCAGGGAAGAGGTATATACAGATAAATGTTTTAGTTAGAGCCATGTCTTCTCCATAGAGAAAGTGGTGTGTTTAAAGTAGTCAGAAGAAGGTGAATTCCTGAACTAAATGGGATCTTTTAGAAGATTTGGATTTAAAGATTACAAACTTGTGTTATCACAGAGTTTTAAAAAGAAAATTTAGGTTATAAATACATGCTTCTCAGTTCTTTTTTCTCTTTACTCTCTTTCATACTCTGTATGCTTCCTTGTCTGAATTTCCACTGTACTCCCAGCACAGCCCCTAAGCCCTTGGATCACAT